CACAGATATGGCCTCCAGATAGAAATACAAAACCATTTGAAGGGTCAAAACACCAAGGAAAAGGAAAATTGCTAAAATAAAGGTAAGGTTACAAATATTTTAGGTTAGGCAGAAGGAAACAACAAACCCATTAGATGATTCTTGTGAAACAGACATTCCAGCTCTGAAAAAATTGTTTTAGATGACTTTGGCAAGAAGGGAAATAAAAGTAGTTCATGTTAGGATAAATTATATGCTCATTATGCTTACCTTGGCTCAAATTAATAATCCTAATAATAATTCTGTTTCACTGATAATAATCATTAATCTTGATTTAGACCTGCTAAGCAATGTCCTAGACGTTTTACATGCTTCATTTCATTTAATTAAAAAGAAAATCCATGGGGAAGGTATTATCAACATTCCCATTTTACAGACTAGGCAACTGAGGCACAGAGGCATTAATGAAATTGCTAGAAAGTGAATGAGATGGCTTTTGCTAAACATGTTTATCTACATTTAGTAAACTGTGTCAACGGGCATTATGTATTGAGATTTAATGGGGGAAAACCCTCCGTTTCTATTCTTTACATTAAAAGAAAATCTAAGTTGTTGAATTTTCTGAAATCAAAATTTGCCGTATTCGGTTTTATTTCTTCACTGTATTGTGAGGTAGTTACACTTTCTTTGTGAAGAAGGCAAAATGAACACATTCCATTCCTCTCATTCTATCTCTTCCAGCATTTCTTACTCCCCTGTAGTAACGGCCTCAGAAAGCAGGGCAATTTGGATCAGGGTAAAGGAGGCACAAGAAAACGCTAAATCAATGTTATCAATTTTGGTGCAGAGAGCAAAGTGAAGTAAGCCCTTTGCCCTCTTGAATAGTTTCATCTCTAAACTTTTGATCAGAGTACTGGGCTCAATGTTCTCTCTCCCCTAATTCTGTATTAATACCCATTCTGGTCAACTTTCCACATGTGGGCTATATAGCATGTCATGGCAAGAATTGTGGACTTAAATTATTTCATCTATAGAGTTTGGACACTCCCTACATACCCTGAGGGTGGTATGAATCGCTTCTAATTTCATGGCGAAGGAAAAGGAACATCCATGTCATTAACTGATGGTATTGGTTTTGAGAGCCAGAAATCCCTACTCTCCTCCAACTCATTCAGCACAGCAGCCCATTTGACCCCAGGCACAATGTACTCCTGTGAGTTTCTACTGCCTCTTACAGAAAGTGCTGACTGTGGAGAAACTTGATCAAAACATCAAAGATTACAAGAGAAGCTGCATTTATGCCCTTCACAACCACTGATGAAGTACCTTAGCCTCGCCTTCTCTCGATGCCTTGCATATGGTCGTCTGTCTTCCTGACTACTACTTCATATGGCTTATTTGTAAATTCAAGCAAATGTGCTTCTGACTGGCACTGATACATCACTGATGCCAAAACATCAGAGAGGATGAAGCATAAGGACATATTTTTTGATTCACATGGAAAATAGTACAGATTTATGGGGAAGTGATGACAATAGCCATTCCATGATATCTTCACATAATCAGTATCTTTCCATGCCTCTCTTCACCAAATTTTATGACCTCAAAACTTATTTAAAGGAATTACTCTCTTGCTGACCCAAAAGACATGGTGGGGATGGGGCTGGTTGCCTGAACAACCTAGCTCTGTCTTTTCACTTGCTGAATTTCCACAGTTTTCCAATGACCACTTACAGAGCTGTAATGCACAGAACGTCTACTGATGTCCCATTGATATCGATGTGATTTCCCCCAGTGCACTGAGGGCAGCACAGCACACAACCATTAGTATCTAAAGGTTATGTATAATGGCTCAGAGAGGAAAATGAAAGAGCAGAAAGGAATTTGCACGGGAAACAGAAGCAGTAAATAAATAGTTTCAGTGTAAGATCTTACTTGGGTTATACAGCAACTGCAAAGGGGGGTTGGAAAAAAAAACGATGACTCTTACAGACTCAGCAAGAGTGGAGAGTGAAACAGTTTCATATTTTGAAATGTAATACTTTTTTACTTCAACCGCAGAAAGCCATTTGAAAATCATCTTGTATGTTACAGTTCTTATGTGACATCTTTCACCCACATGCTTACTGATAAATTCTTATTCTACCCTCCTGAGGTGGTTAGCAATACAGCACAGATGGGGTAAATTGAGGAAGGGATTTTAACGGGCTTATCCAAAGTCACACAATGTTCAGTTCATGACAGAACTTGGGAAAAAGTTACGGTGTTAGCCATTAACCTCTCATTTTGAACCCATTCAACCCACTGTGCTACAGCATTTAGCCTGATATTTCTACATCTAAAAAAATCACACAATAAATGATTTCAGTGGATATCTCTCACCAATCAACACAGCTTAGCTGCACACACGGTTGCAGTAGATGACCTGGTAAATGTAATTTATTTTGTAATTTAATAAGAAAAAAATTGTCTGGTGGATTTATTTAGTAAACCAAGGAGTCTGTGAGCTGCAGAGTTTACTGGAGTGTTAGAGGGGCAGCAAGACCTAGTGCTGAAGAGCATGGGCTCTGGAGTCAGTCCACTCTGGCTTAAAGCTCAGGATCCCCACTTCTCAGGGATGCGACCTCTTAATCTCAATATGACCCTTATGGGACCTCTTCTCTTTGCTATGCCTCAGTTTACTCATTTCTATACCACATATAATACTGAGACCTGCCCTTAAGGATTGTTGTGAGAATTAAATGAGCTAACGAGTAAAATGCTTAGCTTTAGTCATTTTTGTCAACAAAGTTTCCTGATAGGATTGTTATGTGCCAGGCACTGATCTTGGTGCTCGGATACAGCCGTGAACAAAATGGTTAATTCTGAGAACCACTGAGTTTTAATAGTGAATAACAGTTATAAGGAGAATGATGATAACAACAACAATAATAATATTTAACATTTATAGTATACTTACTATTTTTTGGGTACTATTCCAAGTTCTTTAGTTATATTAACTCATTTAATTCTCATAACAACTCTATGTTATAGGTACTGTTTTAGGCCCATTTAACAGATGAGGAAATGGAGGCCTTTAAAGGTTAAATAATTTGCCCAAGGTACCATGCCTAATAAGGGGCAGAGGTCTGAAAATCCATGTTCATAATGACCGCACTATATTACCTTACTGTCATGTCGAAATCATATTCTATTGTTCACCCTATAAAAGGGCAGACTTTGAAATGACTGAAATGTTCTATTTTCACTTATGAAATGAATAAATATATAAACTAAATAAACAAGTCTCAGAGTATATAATACAAGTTTTGATACCAGAGTGGCCATTATAATAAATTTAAATGGATATAAGCTTGGACACCATCTAAACCTATTAATAAAGAGCTTGCTGTTATCTGGATTTGTTTATACCAGGGGTTAAGTCTTATATCTAAAACATTATCTCTCTACATAGTAACAGTTAATAGAAGATAACCCATAAGATAAGAGTTTGTCTCATAATTGAACAAGAACATTTAAAAGGGCCTCTAATGTATTTAAACTTCTCGAATTACTCCCTGTTTTGAATGATTCATATTAAAACTGTGTTTGTATTACAGTACTTTCTCATCCCCTACCTTCATTCCTTCGGCATTATTTATCATTACAGGTTATTACAAACCAAATAAACATACATGTTGGGTTATCCTAAAATGTCTGAGATAAAAGACACATTTTTGATATTGTAGGTAATGTTATCCACATTTAATAGAAGCATTTTTCAAATGTATTCAGATTGTACGATAAACATATAAAAGAGATAATTATGAACATCAATATAGGCTATGATCCTATATTGTTGACATTATCAGTGACTTCCCTACAAAATAAATCTATTAACTTAGCAGCCCCTGTTCTATGACTCCCATAAAACCAGTTATGGGAAATTTCTTATTGTTCACATTTTGAATAAATCAGAATACACCAAACTTCCCTTATTATTTCTAATTATAAGAAAGTCTAAATCCGTTTTAATCTACTTCTCAGAATCATATTCATTGTATCCTCATGGGTAATTCTGCTTCAATTATGAAACAGGGTTAAACCTGAAAAGAAGTTACTAGTGCTATACCTGGATAGAATTTTTTTTTCTACCATGATATTCCATTGATTCTAGGAATAGTGCTTCCACAAAGTACACGTTTCTTAAGTTAATTTACATTTTAGACTGCAGAACCACTCAAGCAAGGAAATTAATGTTCAGTCAAAATAAAATGCCATCCAGAAAAATCAATACAATTTGCTATCAAGTGAGGGTGACTTTAATCAGAGTGACTCTAGAACAGTATTTTTCTTAAACGTGTTGAAAGAGTGCTTCACAACTGTTTTCTCCTTTACCTCCCCAAACATAGTATCCATATAATTCCACAGCCGAAAAATAAGAATACATTTTTTTTTTAAATCCCAGTGTAAAACTGAATTCTTGGGGAGAAATTATACACTGGATTTTCTGATAGCTTCCAAATAACTACCACTTTAATGAAATTGCTACCTGAAAATCTGGTAGCAGTATTATTGTTTAACTATAATTTAAGAAGCTATTGTAGATTGGTACTTATGACTTCTGGTGAGAAAACCATAACAACCTTTTAATTGAAGGGAAAATGGTTAACTACAGTAATTGCAATCAATAAGACTGTGTTAGTATAAATATTTCTTCTCAAAGAGCATTCCTTACTCTCCTCAGCAGTATTTAAGGGTAGGAAGTGCAAAAATAAAACAAAAAACAAAAAACAAAAAAACCCTTCATTAGAAATCCACTTGTTATTTATAATACTAAGCCTTGGTTCAAATTTTAGGTCCCAGAGTTAAGAGAGAATCTTCCCCTCCCCCAACCTCCACCACAAGCAAAACAACACATCAAAAACTAATGATGTATTGTATGGTGACTAACATAACATAATAAAATAAAAAAATAGAATTGTTGACAAAAAAAAAAGACTTTGATTAAGAAGAAAACAGGCATGGAAAAAAGGGCTTACCAATCACGTAGGCTAGCAACAAGGCCAAAGTCACTGTGATTGCAGTGGCGCTCAAGGCTGTGCACTTCCAGTTGCAGCACCTGTAAGGTTTGTTAAAGGTAAAGGCAGGTCTGGAAAAGGTGCTTCGAGGAAGTGGCCTGGGAGGGGGCGAGTACACGGTATTGGACGTCAGCGGGTAGTTCTGACTGGCCGCACTGAAGATAGCTGAGGAACCAGACCCATGTTTAAACAGGAAATGCCTGCAAAAAGGAAACAAACAGTAGAGCTATAAAAACCAAAGCCTAATTAGCCTGGCTAATTGAATTTAAATAAGAAAAAAACAAAGCCAGTTGTTACAAAAACACAAACTCCACTCATTTCCAACAATCACACCGACAAAGCTCAGGAAAACTGGCAGTCTCAAAATTTTCATATACCTAAGATTTAATTCCAAATTGCCTTTGGTGGTCTCCTTTTGTTTTCTCATTTAGACCTTAGGAGGCAGAAAGAGATCCTCTGTTCCCTGACTTGCTGGCTAGTGAATTTCTCAGACTCTTAAGTGTTGACATTCACGTTTGATGTTACTCGTTATCCTGCTCCTTTTCATTAAATATGATACTCAAGAGTTGATTCAAAAACAAATGAGAAGTATCATCAGGCATTTTTGAAATCTGAATGGTCTAGAAACCAGTATATTTACTTAGAGATTAGCTTTCACAGACATATTTTCAAGCAATATTCTATTATAAAAATTGTCAAACATACAGCCAAGTTGAAAGGATTTTATGCCAACACACATATACTTACCAAGTAGATGCTACAGATAACATACGACTATATTAACTTTATCACATATTTATCCATCTCTCCATTCCTGTCTTCATCCATCAGTCCATCTTAGTTTTCAAGCATTTCAAAGTAAATTGCATACATCAGTATACTTCCCTTCCCTTTTAACTTGCATATTATCTAGAGTTCAATATTTTTTTACAGATTTTTAAATGTAAAATTTATATGAGTTGAACTCTTTTAGATTCCACATATAAGTGGTATCGTACTGTATTTGTCTTTCTCTTTCTGACTTATCTCACTTAGCATAATGCCCTCAAGGTCCATCCAAGAACCCATAAAAACAGAGAACAGAAAGGTGGTAACCAGGGGCTGAGAGGTCAGAGAATAGGAAAGATGTTTAAGGGTATAAACTTGCAACTAGTAGAGAAGTCAGTCCTGAAGATCTAATGTACATTATAGACAACTGTATTGTATTATCATCATCAAGCTCGCTAATAGAGATTTTAATTATTCCCACCACAAAGAAGAAATGATAATTATGTGACATCATAAAGGTGTTAACTAATGCTACAATGGCAATCATGTTGCAATATATAAATGTATCAAATCAACATGCTGTACACTTGAAATTTACATAATGTTATATGTATGTTTCAATAAAAAAATTATACATGATGAAATGCACAAATTTTAAGTATACATTTGCTGAGATTTGACAAATGCAATCATCTGTGTAACATAAACCCTTATCAAGATACAGAACATTCCCATCACCCCAGGAAGTTTCCTCCTGCCTTTCTAGGTAAATCCCTACTCTACTTCCCCCAGGTAACCACTATTTAGCATTTTTTCTACCATGCATTAGTTTTGCCTGTTCTAGAACTTCACGCTGCTGTCATGTCTGAATTACTATAGGATGATTACTGACTGCTCATGACTACTGCAATATGGATATTTCATAAACAGTACTGATTTATGGACATGGAAGGAGCTGCCAAAAACAAATACATTAAAGTATGTTTTGGTGCATATACTTTACACTTACTGAGTGCTATGTGCCATGCATTGTGTTAAACGCATAATCTCAGCTAGTCTTTGCTCATATGAAATAGGCTATATTATTATCCTCATTGTGCATTTAAGGAAATGGAGGCCTAAAGAGGTTTAAAAAAACTTGCCTACATCCTCCTAGTACATGAATGACAGAGCCAGAATAGGAATCCAGGTCACTCTGGCTCCAAAATCCTTAATCTTAACCTCTCTCTGTGCTGCCTGGAGCAGTAAAATGCACTGCTAAGTAGAACACATTCTGGTGCTACATTTTAATGTACTACAACATGAAACCCCTCCAGTAAATAGAAAGCCAACATCACCTTGTCACATAGGACCAAACGTATAAATCATTAAGACTATTTTAAGTCTGATTTCCAACTTCCACTTTTAAAGAACAAAAGCATAGATGTTTAGAGGAAAAAACAACTGTTTAATCTGCCAGTTAATGAAAAATCTCCACATTAGAGAATTTTGCATTAGTATCATGAGGGTAAAGGTTATTTAAAGGGCAGGACTGCTGAGAGTAGTACACATTCACAGGCCTTTCTGGAGGGCGACTTGTCATTAGTATCAGAAGACTTTAAATATGCATATTCTTTGCCGAATAATTATGCTTACAGGAAATTATCCTTAGGAAATTATGTGTCTGACAATGTATAGAACAAGTCGTTCATTGCAGTGTTACTTGTAATAGCACAAAATAAACACCCAAGTGCTCAATAATAGGTACTTGGTTAAGTACATTATTTTACAACACATAGTAGAATACTCTACAACCATTACAAATTGTACTGTAAAAGAAGATCTATTCACTAAGAAGTGTTTAAAGATATCACCAAGTGAAGAAAGGTAGGCTTCAAAACAGTGTGGGCAATAGGATACAATTTTTTTAAAAGATTTCATTTATTTATTTGAAAGAGAGAGAGCGTGCACACAGAGGGAAAGGGAGAAGCAGACTCCCCGTTGAGCAGAGAGCCGGATGCGGGACTTGATTCCAGGACCCTGAGATCATGACCTGAGCCAAAGGCAGATGCATAACTGACTGAGCCACCCAGGTGCCCCAAGATACAATTTTTAAAATAAAAAAATATATATGCTCATGTAAAAATAGTAACTTGTGTTACCTTTGGGTATTTTTTTGAAGTTTTCTGCCTTGAGCTTGTATTGCCTTTGTAACAAGTATCAAAAAGAAGGGAGGTGGGGTGAATGGAAAAAATGCACTGTTTAACACCAACCATATGCATAGTTGGTTCTGTTTATGTGAACATGATTTATTGAGCACCTAGAAAGTCTAGGCACCAGGCACTTTATGTGCAATATTTTGATCCTCATACATCTGTGAGGTTTAAACTATTATTCTAATCTTACAGATGATGAAACAGAGACCAAAAGAGGTTTTTAGCAGGAATAAAGTGGTGGTAATAGTAGTTATCATAGTAAGTGCTCACTTGTGCTGGGCACTGTTCTAAGTAATTAATAAACTCTTATATCATTTAATCTTCACAACAACCCCATTAAAATAAATATTTCCATTTACAGATGAGAAAACCAATGCACAGAGAGGTCAAGTTGTCCATGGTCCCCACAGCTAGTAAGTGGTGAAGCTGAGTTTCAAACACAAGCAGGCAGGCTCCAGAGCCATTGCTCTAAACCACGACATTATAGTGCACTCTGCTAGGATGAGGCAGGTCGTGGATACATTAAGATATGAATGCAGACCTGTTAGGGCACAGGAGAAGCATGTGGGTAATACTGAACTGAGCCACAATTACCCTGTTTCCCTTGGGAACAATGACAAACATGAAAACTATGGCTAAAGAATCACAGAGTTGGAAGAAGAGATCTCAGTAATCATCTAATAGCCCAACACCCTGATTTTGCAGTTAGGGAAACTGAGGCCCAGAAAATGAAATGGACTACCTCAAAGTAACATAGGTACTTAATGGTATAAATGAACTTGGAATCAGGGACTTCCAAAAGAGTGTATTTCCTCTGCCCCAGGCGACCTGCCAACCAGTCTTCACCGAACTACCACCAGGTTCTAAGCTCCTGCATTAACTGATCCAGGCTAAACAAATATAATCCCTTCAAACAGTGCTACATAATACTTGTCTGTTCTCCTGAATGTCACATGTTCTTATAGTAAGTTTTAAAGACCATCTTAACTATTTTGGATGAATGGGGAAGCATTACAATGAAGCTACTCTTTAGTTGTTAAGAAGGCAAGGGAGTTATTGCTGCTTCTAAAAGTACCTGGCGTATCCCCAGAACGGAGAAAGAGTATATAGCAGAAATAAGGATAAATATACCCAAAGAGTGACTCGCAGCATTATGCTCCTTCCATTTAATTATACTTCCTATTTATTTATTTATTTGAGAGAGAGAGAGAGAGAGAGAGAGGGAACACAAGCAGGGGGGAGATGGGAGAAGCAGGCTCTCCACTGAGCAGGGAGCCTGACATAGGGCTTGATCCCGGGATCCTGATCTGAGCCAAAGGCAGATGCTTAACCGACTGAGCCACCCAGGTACTTCCTCTTTAGTCCCTGAAATGGTCTCTTCCATTTATAAGGAGGTGAATTTCTTCTTTACCATCTGGTTAGCGCTCCCAGCCTATGTTTCCGCCCCCCCCCCCCCCAGCTATCTAATTTACTAGTGAGCAAGACATATAGCGCTTTACGGACGGCAGAGTGGAGCAGCCTCCCCATCTCCTTAGCACTACCTGGCGGTTACTCTGGATGTGACAAAATGTCACTTAGGTATAACCAGTCCTGCACAGGGACACCCTGATATGTTCCTGTGGGATAAAAGGGAAACCCAGCAGTATGGGGTGCTTTTTGCCCAGTGATTGGAGATAAAATCTTCAATCCTTTGCATATTTATGAAGGAGAACAATCGGATTTTCGAAACAATGTAAGTGGCCCCATATGTTGGATATTGATTTGGTTTGGTATATCATTAAGGGGGAGAAGAAAGACAAAGAAAGACAGAGAATTGTTGGCTATTATGATGGCAATTACAAGCAATAATCAATATCCCTGAGCACTGTAATTTCATCATGATATACACTAAAGGATTTCCAAATGCAGTATCATAAGTAAAATATTACCAGCATAATGAATAAATTCAGCAGTCGCAGCAGAGCAACATTTAAACTAATTCATATTTGAGTGGAATCCAAATCACAGTCCTCAGTGAGGGTAGATAATAAAATGAGTTCATATACTAAGGTTCCTGTTTTCTTATTAATATGCTGAGATTAAGATTCTATGCTCAAGTGATCTATACTTTGATGTGGATCATGAAAAACAGTGCTGCAAATGCTATGTATTGTCAAAGGCTTTGCAGTCCATTGTTGGAAAGTGAAACTACTGCCTAAATGTGTTTTCATAGTTCCTGAAAAAAGTAGGAGCATAAA